TTAAATTAAACTTTATTTAATTATATATGTAAATATAAATTAACTATTTATTACTATTAAATAAATCAAAGATCTCCAGAGGTTAATATATATTTTTTTGCTCCGGAGTCTTTTAACGACGACGGAGTTTCTCCAGAGGTCTACGCCCGAAGATTTGCGAAGATCTTCGCCAAAAAAATTTCCTGATGTAAAATAAAATATGGAGATACGGATTCTTTATATTTAGTCTGTCCAGAAGAATATTTCTACAAATGCGATACAGCTTATGATATTGGAAATGGGATCATGAAAGAAAAATACTGGAATGAAATGGTAAAAATTTCTATGAAAGTAATGGGGGAGCTTCGTGATGAGGTAAATGAATTTCTTAAAAAAGATAACGGAACTACTTACCTAAAAATGGCCTATGAAGAGGTTTTATTTCCAGTAGTATTTACAGGTAAGAAAAAATATTACGGTATCAAACATATAGAAGAACCTAACTTCGATCCAAATCCAGATAAGCTTTTTATTAGAGGCATAGATATTGTGAAACGGGGGCAGTCTAAGCTCTTTCGCAAAATAGGTAAGGAGATTATGCGTGAATCTATGGAAATCGATAACAATAGAACGTTATACCAGATTGTTAAAGAGGTCCTTAAAAACATAGTGAAAAATTCGTCTCAGATAGATATTAATGATTGTATTCGAACTTATACATGAAAACCCGATAAAGATAATAAGTCTGTTAAACGTTTCATCTCTCGAATTAAATCTAATCATGCTCGTGAGGTTGCGGATTCCAAACAGCTTATAAAAAAGGAATTAACACCTGATCCATATCTTTATAATATCTCGGAACCTGGAGAGTGTTTTGAGTGTATAGTGGTAGAAAGAGAAGATCGATATGATGAGTATAGGAAGAAAATATCATGGAAAGTAGGAGATTGTATGGAATACCCAGATGTGGCAAAAAAACTTAACAAAAAAATAGATATCAATTATTACCTAAAGAGTGTAGTTAGTCTCTATGCCCAGTTTATAAATAATAGTAAATGTTTTGAACCACAACCTGATTCCAAATCCTTGAAAAATATTACAGATTCAGATGAACTCTGGACGGCAAATGATGGTTTGGCACAGAAATCAGCTGAGAAATGGATAAAAAATTATATCAAAGATTTGCGAGATGGTCCTAAAAAAGAAGAAGCTATTATATCCTATTTATGGAAAGATGCTACTACTCACGCTCAAAAAATATGTCCCAATATTAACAAAGCTGGCATAACCAGGCCTTCAGGCGCGTCTACGGGGCATAATGACTACCTTAATGCGTTAGATAAAATTGCAGATTCTATTCGTTTAAAGTTATCAGATCTACTTTTAAAATTATCTAAGCTCAATGTAGAATATAGAAATGGATTGTATGGGTTAATTATGCAGGTACAAAAATGCAAGCCTAATGTCACTATTTTGGAAGAATATATATTTCGGTATAATCTGGAATCACAGTGTGGAGCATTAATAGATTTCCGAAATACATGGTACGAGATAATTGGTCTTGAGGTTGCTTGTCTTCAAGCACTATCGATTATACAGAACAGTAAAAAATATAACTTATCCGAAGCGGATATTGATGAGATCATCGATCTATACTGTTAAGTATTCTTGGTTGGAATTGCGACACTCACTAAAGATACCTACACAAAAATAATTTTTTTCGTACATAACTAATATCCAAGTTTAAATAGATGATCGCCTGATCCACATATCCCGCAATCGATCACTTTTTTTATGATCCTTTATTTCAAAGAAATGATGAATCGGAGATTCGAGACTTTGTCTCTTCTTTGAGCCTAGAGTCACTCCTTCGGGCCTGCGGAGCAATGGCACTTTGAGTTTATCTATATTCCTGTGTCTTACAAACCACACAACCGCAATAATTAACAGAGCAAGAAAAATATATGCAAATAAAGGTGGCATCAACATGCTTGTTATAACAGGGAGAGACAAAGCCTCGAGATCGGGTCTCATCTGGATATTCGATTTAATCAAAGAGGACATATTATCCTCACTATTTTTGCTAATGCTAGTTTCATCGCTTACCTTGGGATTGATTTTGATATCATTTTTTGATAGTTCGGTAATCTCACCATCGATTTTTTCTATGTGCCTTGGCACTAGCTCCGCTATTGGATCCATAATTTTTCTGCATACTAAATATTTACTGAGATCAGTACTATCCAAAGATATATTATCAGACTTAGTAATATTTTTTTCATCATTCCCACCAACTATGGCTTTCGATATAGCCCCTGATTTTAGACACTCAAGCTTATAGATCTTTGATTCCAATTCGTTTTTTAAATTTTCTACTTCAGCTATTTTAGATTTAAGCGACGTGATCTTAGTTTCTTTTTTAGATAAATTGCTTTGAATCAAAATCATATCTTTCTGGGCTGAGGCTAACTTACCTTCCAATATCTTGATCATAGACTCGAGTGATTTGATTTTCTTAAATTTTATATTATTCTCAGCTTTGGACTTTGCAAGAGAAATGTCTTTATTAGTGTTTTCAATCTGTATATGCCTAGCTTCATCAATGAGTTCGAGATCATGAGTACGTAATTTCTGGATCTCAGTATTAGCATCTCCCAGTTTTTTACCCCACTTCTTTCTATTCCGATCCCATTGTTCTCTCTCCTGATTAAATTTTTTTTCTTGTTTTTCATACTTATCTCGCAATTTAGCATTATATGAGACTATCTCGGAAGAATCTTGGAGGGCGATATATAATTCTTTCTTAAGGTCTATCACATTGGTCATATTAAATAAAGAGAATTATTATGAAAAATAACAAAATATGGAATATATATGATTAAATATATAACAAATACACTAGCTCCACTATACTTATCTGATAATGCAATCAAAGAGATTATGCTTCCAATATAATTCAACAATAATAGATAATTATCGATTTTTTTAGAAAATTATTGAATATTAAGTATGTAATTTTTAGTAATTTTCAATAATCTTCGATAATTTTTTATAATTATAAAAAAAGGATGGAACACATAACCGTGGAATATTATCGCGCCGGCACTCCTTATCTATCTCCAGAAGCTATTGAGGAAATAATTCAATCTCGGGGGACTGTTAAAAATGTATGCAGGGAAATGGCTGATAAATATGATACTTCAACTCGTAGAATTTATGAAATTTGGAAAAGACATGCTCAAGAATTACCCCTGCGCAAACAACAAATAATACATAGTGTTGCTTCTTCTGAGGCAATGCCTGAAAATAATATTTCGGATAGGCGGTCAAAGAAAAGAAAATCAGGATCCGATTCCAGATCTGTTCGAATATCTGATTCGGTTAATAATATTAAACCCGAAGTTAGCTTTTCAGTTAATAAGGCTGGCATAAAAAAGGTAAGTGAAATGAATGATCTACAAGCTAGGCTTGCACAAAATCGCAAAGAAAGAGAAGAAGCTAAACTGAGATGAAAAGAGTCTTAGATTCCAACTAATCTATTTTGTTTTTTCTAGAGAAGTTTGTAGACCCAATGGGTCATTGCTGGGCAATAAACTACATACCATTTCAATAACAGATTCATTACTATAGGTTTGTAGTTTTTTATTAAGCTCGATTAATTTGGTATTGGATTCGAGTACCTCATATAATGATTTTTCTAACTCCTTATAGCTCATGCGTTTTTTTTTATTTCAGAGAAATGGCACTTTATACCTAGCATCTTTGGTACTTGCTTCGCTAAAGTTAAATTGTCAGAATCAGGGCTAAAACCCGCAGAAGCACACAGCTCTTCACTATCTGTCTTCTGTGAAATTTGATCGGATACTAAAGATTTATCATCTTGAGTTGCAATTACATAGTTTACTTCAAGCTTGTTCTTCACCTTATGCATATTAATAGGGATAAAAAACTTCTTATTATCGCATACAAGTTTTAATTCACGCCTTGATGCAAGTAGATCATAATCGTATTTATCTAGAAGTATATTGGGTAAAATTAACATTGGTTTATGATACTTAACTACTGCAAAATCAGAATATATAGTGCATCCCAGAGCAAAAGTTACAGGAACATTACAAACAATCCCAATAGATTCGGTAGGGATAATAGCAATTCCACTAAGATCATATTTTTCCTTTGTATCAATTACCAACTTTGCACGCTTGGTGATATCCTCGGTCATAATTGGAAAATTGGCACAAGAATCGAGACCGGCAGCCGGAATTACCAAGCATTTAATTTTACATCTTACAGTTGCAACATCTGTAGCTGGATTCTTTCTCTGAACAAAATCTATTTCCATAGGATCATCTATAGTCTCTTCCTCTGACTCAGGTATTTCCGGAACCGGTTCTCAATAATTTGTAAAATCCAAATTTGTAATAGGTGAAACTGTATTATTTGTAGAAGTTTTAGTAAAACTAGCACCTTTGATACTTGTTCTGCTAAAGATATTGTTTTTAATCATTTCTATTATATCTGGATCATTAAACATATCTAAAATCGTTTTTCGGATCTGTTTATCAATGATTGTACCTGAACTCTTTTGTACTTTATTAAAGATAGACCTATTTTTTTTCGTTTTTTGCGATTTGGACTTCTTCTTAGATGCCGATTTACTCTTCTGCTTTACTTTTTTTTTAAATGTGTGATATTGACATTGATATCAGCTTCAGCTTCAGATTCAGATTCAGATGAAGTTTCTCCAGAATTATTATCTGAAGAATCATTATCAGAAGAGTTTATATTTGAACTAGAGTCAGAATCCACAACAACCTTATTGATATTACCACTCTTTTTGGATCTATTCTTAGAGCTTTTT